ACAGCTTCAGCAGTTTGTAAATGAAACTGTGGCTCAAAATATTTAAGGGATTTTCTCAAAGTCATAGTGTGCAAGGATAGAGCCAAATTTAGCACCCTGATCTTGGTCTTATAAACTAATAGGCAGGAAATTCAGAAAGGAACAGGGCAAATGACTATATCCCAGAAGTCATGGCCTAATGGAGAGTATCTCTAAGCTCAGGGATGAAAAAGGAGAAGGGCCAGAACATGCAGGCAGCCTCCTATCAAGTGAGTCACAGCCACTTGTGCTTTTAGCTCCAAGAGAAAACAGGAAAATGCACTAATGCTTTATGGGTTGAGCTTCCTATTGAGGGGAATCAGCTTTGAAAAAACACGAATATTTAACTCTCATCAGCTGACTTAGTGGATGTGTCAGTCACATTTGGCAGTTCTCTCAAAAACTCCACAAATAATTCATCCCAAGCAAATTAACACACAACAGGAAAAGTGATTGTCTTATAAATTACAGGTGTGGAAAGGGAGAAGCTTCAGGCAACACACATTATGAAAAGTGATGCATGGAATTGAAACCTCTTTATGATAAAATGAACCTCTCTGTTTTCCATTTTATCCTCAACACTTCCCATGTTGATGTATTACTAACACAAACAGACTTAATACACTTCATAGATACAATTTTAAGAATATAGTTTACTCCTTCCTTCCATGTCGCAGTTTCATTTTCCACGAGGTTTTTAAATTATCCTTATCTAAGTATGTATACATGGTTACGTATTTCATAAGAGAAAAAAACAGCAAATTAGACAATTTGCAAATTCACCTGATAGAAATATGCATACATCTGTCTGTATATATACATATATACAGATATATACAGATATATGTACATGTTGTTACACCCTTAGGAAAAAGTTTTGTATATTTAAAATTTCAATTATAGCCAATTTATTTTTATTATATTTAATAGGTTAGGTACAAAAAATTATAATCACCATTTATTTTCCTGCAGACCCTTACTCACCAAGTTGGTTTTCAAATAAGCAATTTCAAGTACTAGAAAATGACATATTATGTCAGGAGTTTGGATGTTGCCACTGCCTCAGTGAATGCAGGTACTCCACATGTCCACAGGTGAAAGAATACAGATGAGAAACTACTCCCTCCCTGGAAATCTACACAAAATTCTTACAATTTATTATCAGATAATCACACCTTGTTTTGTCATTTTGTTCATTTCCTCAAATGTGTGTTGGGGGCTGTGGTAAGAGAGAACCAGTATGTGGAAAAATTAAAAATTAATGATTCTTTGCTTATGCAGTTTCTTTAGAAATTCTAGATTCTAAATTCTTACACTATACATTTACATAGAAATGTGAAAATACTATCTTCTTTAAAACTTGATAATTTCCCACAAACATCAAATGCGATTAAAATTGAAATAATTTTTTTAAAATCTCCATTTTTGGAATAATTAAAATAACAATGGTGTGAAGCTCCTGAATTTGGTTAAATGTAAACTTAACACTGTATGTCCAAACATGCATGTATATGTAATCTTTTCAAAGCTGCCTTGTAAACAGATACATGGTAAATAACACATTATGTAATTAACATGATTCTTTAGGGCCAAGTAATGTGCAATTATCCCAGATGTATGTTGTCAATATGGAAAATACAAGATCACTAAAAATGAAGTCTCAGATTGGTTTTGAATGCTACCTATTGCATCTCTTCCTTGACGCGCTAAAAGAAGTGCATGACTTTCACATACCCAAACTGAGCATAAGATGGATCTCTATGAGTGCTTTTGGATAACTGTACAGATGAGTGCTAGCATCTCATCAACTAAGTGATACAACCCTGTGCTTGTCAACAGTGGCAGTGGATCAGGTGGGCCCTACCCAAGCAACCACCTGCAACTGCATCAGAGGTGAAGTCCTATGGATTGGAGCATCTCACCTGCTCCTGGGCATGCAAGTATCTAGGCAGATTCTCATTCCTTCCGGCTCAGAGGGAACCGCACGTGTTACTGCTGCTGCACCCAGACTGCATGACTCATGAAACCCTGACTGTTTCACCTTTGCTCTTGACACAATTCCTCACAAAGATCTGCACTCTCTTCTGAGAAGCAACTGATTTAGTTATGCATTTAGGAATCTCTCTCTTTTCCTCCAGGCTTGTCAGAAGAATCTTAACCTTTTTACTCCAAAACAGAGAAATTGCATACTAAGACACCAAGACTAAATGTAATCTCATCCCGAAGACCATAAACATGCAAAAACAATCACTGATTCCCTAAATAGCTACTTGCATCGTGAAAGTAAGAGACTGAAGGTGAACGTTATAGGGACTGTCAGCAAAACTTCTGTCACTGGATCACCAGAATTACAAACCTTCCTTGTCCACCAATGCCATTTCAGATTATTCAGGAACACAGACTCACTGAGATGGTTTTCTTCATTTTTTCCCCCTCCTTGCCATTTCACTTGCTCAGAGCCAAACATCTACTGTGCCTTCCAATGATTCACTCTCTCCTTCCTCTCCTCCTGTGGAAGCACAGGCTCCAAGTGAAACATTACAAGTAAAGTGGAAACAGGCTTTTCCCAGGCTGGACTTGCAAACAGAAAGCAAGAACACCATTCTTCACCAGCAAACTGACCCACAAAGCATATTGGACTCAGTTAAAGAGACTGAGAAAAAGGTCAGCTAGCAAAACAAAGGGATCTCTCTCCCTAGTTACTTCACCAACCCCCAAATAAAGCTTTGTCCTCCGCAAAGGGAGGAAGAAAGAGGGCATGTGAGGCCAGGACGTAAGAAGCAGTGGACTCACAGGCAACTTGTTTGTACAGTTTTCTATCTTATGTTTTCCAGGGAGTAATGACTCTGTATTTGTGAACGTTTCTCACTACTCCCGTTTCTATACTGCAATGCCTGCTGAAACTGCAATGTTTACAAACCACCATGTATTTAAGTCATGTACATATATACAGGGCACAAACATATCATATACAGATACTTATATAGGGAGTCCACTGCTTATACATATAGACTTCTGCGTATAAGTGTTTTGCTGAAAGTATAAGAATACCTTTATTCTTCTAAATCAACAATTTCATGCTTATCTAACTCTTAGAATATTATAGCTTAGATTCAGATGTTTACTTAGATCTTAGAAAGCTCATATCCATTTAAAAAATCTTGTACACACCCAGGGTTTTTACTTGTCTAGTATCCAATCTGGAAATTAGTAGTGAGGGGGGGCGGGGGTCTAAGACTGTGTTTAAGGAATATTTCCGTAATAAAGGGTTAATGATTTTGGCAAGCATGAATTTTAGCAGTTAAGAAGGCACGGCTGTCTGTTTGAAAAAAAAAAATTCTGTATCACATTAAAATCCCCTTGCAAACAGATAAATTGCTCTATAAATCTTATTACCCTATGAGGATAAATCACACATGCAGGTTTACAAGTCTGAAGAACTAGAAAGGAAAATCTGCTTTGGGTAGTAGGCTCTTCGGGATTCATAATCACCCAGTGCTCAGGAAATGAAAGGAGGAATGCTTACATGTGAGCATTTACTTAGTTTACAACATGGAGCAGCATATACTATACACAACACACATATGCACACCATCACACACACCAACACACCACACACACCTTCCTTGCTAACAAGGCTACAGATCCCAAAGCAGGACACACTGTGACAGCCAACCAAATTTATTTCTGGGAAAAGAAAGAAAACTTTGCTGCTGTTGGCAACTCTGCTACAGAACTGCTCCCCAATGCCCCAAGGTTTGTGCACTATCAGCTCCTTGCACACAGATTAGAGGTTTATTTTCTTCCGTATACTGTTTTTATTGCCTCCACAGGCAATAATAGCTAGACATACCAACATTGGGTCATTTTATTTGGAGCAAATGAGATTTTAAAAGATTTCAAAGGAAAATGTCTTTTCTGTGTGTGTGTGTGTGTGTGTGTGTGTGTGTGTGTGTGTGTGTGTGTTTTACTATCCGCCAGAAAGTTAAGGAAAGAAAAAAAAAAGCAAGGGTGGCAAGGAAAAGACAGAAGAGAAATGCATGAAACAAAGCTTAGCATACTTTAGAAACTGGGTGCCATTTAACTCTCACTATTTCAATGTCCCTTTCAAGGGTCAAAATGCCAAGGACTTGAGACTCTTCCCTTCCAAAATTGAATCCCAAATGATGTTTAAGAGTTTGGCAGAATGGTAGAGAGATAACACTTTGAAGTCAATAATCAATTTGAAATATCCATTTTATGCTAGATTAATTCTTTCCCAACCTCTGTGCTTAACATTCTCATTCTTAAATGCTAGCAATTTGGCAAGTTGCTTTATTTCCCTCTCTGCATTCTTGGGTTCATTTTTCACCCACATTCGAGAAACAGGCTCAATAATCAACCAAAGTTCTAAAATTGATTTATTGCCCTTGACGTCAATTAGAAGATTTTTACAGGAAGTCATCTCTATCAGAACTCCTGCTGGGGCTGAGTGAGAGCCCTGATGAGCGCATACACACACACCACCCACCCACCCACCCACACACACACACACACGGCAGAACAAGCAGCAAGCAGCACCAGGACCGTGTAGCACGCAGTGAGATCCATCATTCAACAACACTTCTTTCCATGGGAAAGACTATCAACAGAAATCCCGAAGTGCAAAGCATTAGCAAAGAGCAAGACAGAACAACTGGCCAAAGGTCTCTAATGCCATAGTTGAAGTTTGAATGCTTTCTGATAAGAAACATTATCCTAAGGACCCAACAACATTTAACTAGCGCCACTAGTCCCTGACGGGGACCACGATTCCGTTGGATTTCAGTGGCTGCTCTGTCTGTCCTCCAGTGAGTAAAGAAGCGCGCACACATACACACACACACACACACGTCGGCAGCCCAGGAGCTAGAGTTCCAGGAGATCATAGAGAGCACACACACACACACACACACACACACACACACGGATGCACGTGGAGAAAAGTTGCCCGAAAGCCCTACCTGAGGATGGCTGTGTCTCCCTGCCTCACGGTGATGTTGTCGGTGCCTCGGTTAAAATCCACGCTGCGGACAGGCAGTCCTGTGGGGAGAAGGCAGAGCAGTCTCAGTAGGACCAGCGGCAACTGTTTGCGATCTGGCTGAACTCGGGCGCCCATGGTGGCCGGCGGGCGTCCTCGGGAGCCGAGCCTGGGCGCGCTGCTGGCCACGAACAGGGGCTTCACACGCCCAGTGCTCGCCGCCACCAACAACGCAGGACACGCTGTGCCAGTTTGGGATCCTGGCCACTTTGCCGTTTTTTGTTTTTTTTTTTTCTTTTCTTCCCTTGTTCGTGTTCTTCCACTTTTTTATTTTATTATTATTATTTTTTAACTTCACAAAGACTTCTCCAAAACCCAAGCTGAGACAGGAGGGTGGCCAGGAGTCAAGAGAACCAAATTTCTAAAATACTAGAAGCCACTAGAAAAGAAGGCGAGAGAGCTGAGAAAGGCTGGACTGCTCTGGTCTCCCGGTGGCTGTGCGTTTCTGGCAGCGAGCAAGCTTAGCTCCTTCCTCTGTAACCCACTTTCCTGGGCGGGAGAGGGAACCAGCCCTGAGCCTGCCAGTAAGAGTGGAGGCACCATGCAGTAGCAGCAGCAGTGGCGGCAGCAGCGGTAGAGGCAGCTCAGAGCTGCTCTCCCCTCCTCCCTTCCCCAGCTCTCCCTCTGGCTCCAGCTCTCCAGGCTCGGCACCTCCCCCCACCCTGCTGGCTTTCAGCGGCCCCTCCACGTCATCCCCCTCCCTCCCTTCACCGTGGCCCCTTGCTTTGCACAACTGCCCCCTTCAGCAGCAGCAGCAGCAGTAGCAGCAGCAGCAGCAGCTTCAGCAGCAAGCCTCAATGAAAGCCTGATGCTCCTTAGGTTGTCAGGACAACAGCTCCGTCCCAGGCCTGGCTGATTTCCTTAAGAAGAGCGAATGGAGCTTAAAGGGGTTGCTCTAAAGGAGGGGATGAAAAGAGAGACCTAAGTGAACCAAGAAAGGGGAAAGCCCAGGAAAGGAGAGAGTGGGGGTGAGGGACTTAAGAAAAAGGAGATGGCAAGGAGAGATGCAAACAGGAGGATAGGAAAGCATCAGGATGAGGGACCACGTGCAGAAGGACTGGCAAAGGAGTGTCAAACACAGGAGCAACTTGACAGAGGAGTGTGAGCTTAAAAGACAAAGTAGATTTCCAACCAACCACTCCTGGCAACTGGCTTTCCACACTGGCATGCTGTTCATCCTTTCTTCTCTCCTGCACTTTTTTGTACAGGGTTAAAAAGGTTGATTTTTCTGGTTGATTTTTCCATCATCCTCCTCCCCCTCACACAACCCCCTTAAGAAGGGTAGATTGCAGACAATGCTGGTATTGAGTGGTCTGTAGTCTGAATGCTTGGCTTGTTTTTCCAAGTGCCAGCTACAGCAGCTGATCCCTGATCCCTAAACCAACTTCACTCTCCAGGAAACCCTCACCCAGCCCTACACATGAGTATGCCTGTTGAGGGCTATTGTTGAAAGGGCATACTGCTGTGGCTACCCAAGTCCCTACTGGTACTTGCTTCTCCACTTATTCGTTTACAAGGAAGGAGATGTTTATATCAGAGCATCAGAGCACTTTCCGTCTCCAGGGAGACACTGAGGCTGAGTACCACATTCCAGGGAGCATCGGGCAGGCCATCATAGCAAGTCATCCTGCTCCATGCATCAAGCAAGGAGACTGGAAGGGGTTGACGTGCTTAATCTCTCAAGTGAGAGTCTCCAAACCACTGGAAAATTCTCTGGGTACTGAAGCCAGGGAGAAAAGATGGATCAGTCAAGGACTTCTTACCCTCTTATCCTCTTCCAAACTGTATTATATGAGTAAGGCAGTCACATGGTGAAATCCAAATCATGAAAAATACTATAAGGCAAATTGCAGGTATCTCTCAGCTGCTGTCTCTAGGCACCCCATTTCCCCTCTCTAACGGCAAAATTTGCAATTTTGGACATATATACAGCCAGAAGAGGTTTTCAGGGCTGGAGGGGGAACTGAGATTCCTTTAGCCTTCAGGCTTTGAACCAGATAGCTGCCTTTACACCCTCCAGCTCCTTGCACTTGAACTCCTTTTAGTTTCTTTCAGCCAGCAAGGCCTCCAGGTTCAACCTGTTTCCTCCGTAGTAGGAAAAAGATGCAAAAAAGACATTTAATAACCAGCTCTAAACCCTCAAGCAAAGTTTCTGACTCATCCAAGGGACTCACTCCTACTTCTGTCAACAGAGGAAACTCCAGGTGGGAAAGAAAGTTATATTTCCTGCTTTTCTATTCTGGAATGTTTTCTGCTTGAAAATATTCCATAAACATACAGATACACACACACATACACGGATGTTATACTCACTCCTCTTATTTATAGAAATGTTTGAATCCTTATCAAACCCAACTGGAGCATAAGGCCCTAGGAAAATACAGTTATGATACCTGCATTGGTAGCCACAACATTCAAAAGACTTCCATGCTACATTTTATTAGTAGAGTAAAAAAGTAGGTGAATGCTGTTTATAAAGTATGTGAGGAGAGAAAGAGAAATCTTTTGGGTTTAACAGAACACTTGAGAATTGAAATCTAAATTGTCACAAATCAAGAATGATGAGGCTTGATTGATTTTATTTATATTGTGCATTTATTTTGTATAAATCAAGGTGTTCCGTGGCAGGGTTTATAAGCAATCCTCAGGTAACAAGACAATAATGCCCTACTGTTAAGTTGGAATTTAGCTGTTTAAAACCGTTTCAACACATTGGGAGGTGAGGTGGGCAGGGAGAGTGCTGGGAGGAGAATAATTAAATGGTAGACTGAATTACAAAACCCATAATCCAGTGACTCCCAGTTATCTGTATGACAAAGAGCTTGAGTGTTAATGCAAAGATTGCTGCTAAGTGTGCAACGGAAAAGTCATCTGTCTTTACCAGCAACAGACTGGACTATACCTCTCAGGCTTCCCTTCAGCTCTTTTGGATGAAGGGTTAGCTTCACAGTAGGAGGCTGGTGGAAGAGTCAGGAGGCTAGAGTCAGGAGGAAGTCAGAAACCAAGACTACCAGAATTTTCTGTGTGTGTACATATGGTGTTACTTGACTAGCATGAGAGCCAGTGGCATCTGAAATACTCTCAGAGAAAGGTTTAGAGAAACTGAGAGTATGAGTTCTCTTTTGTTGGGTTAGATTTTGTAGAAAGAGCAAGAAAGCTTGTTGTGGGAAAACGAGCAAGTGCAATTGGGTTGTAACGAATCCATTTCAGATAATCCTTAGACATGATTATTAACTATTGATGTATAAATAATGCTTAGTGTCATATGACTAATTAATGTAACCAGTAATCTCAAGCTATTGATAGAATTTAACTGGCAGTGGCATCAGAATAAAATCTAAACTTTAACATATGGGCCACAAAATAATACAACAAAAAAAGAATGAAGTGGAATTTATAATAAACCAATCAGATGTGAAATTTATCCCTACAATCACTCTGAGAAGAGCATACATTAAGTCAATCAAGATGCTCATCAGAATTTTAATGGAAATGTCTGACTTACCTAAAGGACACATCACAATTGTATTTATATTTTAAGCCATAAAAGACAAAAGCTTTTATGATATCTTCTTTAAAGTATATTCCTTTGCAACATTTTAAAAACTATTATCTATTTTTATTGGAAAGACACATTTTCAGAGAGCAGAAGATACAGACAGAAAGATTTTCCATCCATCCGCTCCCCAAACTATAGCAATGGCTAGAGCTGAGTTGATTAGAAGCCAGGAACCAGGAGCTTCTTGTGGGTCAAGTTGATCATCTTGCTTGGGTAATGATGGCTGCTTCCTATGGCTGTTAGCCATACTTGCCTCACATATAACCCCAAAATAAGTTCATTTTTGCCAATCTTCTGAAGATTGACTATAGTGGTGCAGAGTAAAATAGCCTGTGTAAATTTCAGGAACTCATCTGTTTTCTTCTCTACATTTCTTAGGAAATCAAGCAGAGAAGGTGATATCCTGGTCCCAAGGCTTTTGGCCATCCTCTATTGGTTTCCCAGGCAATAGCAGGGAGCAGGATGGGAAGTGGAGCAGCTGGGACACTAACTGGCACTCAAATGTGATGCTAGAATTTGCAGGCTCAGGATTAGCCAACTGAGCCACTGTGCCAGCCCTGCAACTTGGCAACGTCTATTAACCTAATTGACCTATTGTGAGCCTTGGAAATAAAACGCATCTTTTTTTTTTAAACACATGTAAAAAATTTTAGTTTGTACTTTACTGCAATACAGCATGAATCAATTACTCTGGATTTTTGAACCGTTTAAAAATCATAAAATATATCTATAAGTAAATTATTTAATAGTTTTTAAAATTTTTATTACATTTTTCACAATCTTTACATAGTTAATTTGGGTAAAAAGTTTCAAGGGCTATAGGAAAATGGCTAAGACTATTATTTCCATATTGTTTCCTTCATGTTTAAAGGGGGGTATTAAGGGAGAAGGCCCACCCAATTTCCCACCCTCCCAAGTCACAAATGTGGGGCATGCTCTGAGGTTCTTGCTCAAGTGATTTTGATAGTTCACCATTTATGAATCGCTGCCAATCTTGCCACTCCAAGCACTATGAGGTCGTTGAAGAATCCAGTGATTGACACAGTCCCTCATAGAGGCCCTGTTTGCCCCGTATTTCACTGCCAACAAACAGCTGAGGTGGTTGATTGACTTGTTCTGTTCTCTGTCTTTTCTTGGTTAGAGTTCTGAGTCTGGCATTTTGGTTGAGGAGATCCCCAAAGAAACTTCGTCTGAGGTGTTCCCAGACCAGGTTCTTGTATGTAGTTGCAAGTACAGGGCCCAGCACAGTCCATGGCCCAGATTAGTTGGTGGTTGCAATTGCTGGGTTAGTTCTGTTTTCACTCCCGACTTCCACTGGAATCAATGAGGGTTGCAGTCCAGCGTGGTTCTGACCAGCACATATTCAACACTGGCATAAACCAGTGGGAGCTGCAGCCTAGTCAGAGTGACCCGCAAAAACCCCCACCAGTCTCACCCCCCTACCTTGGTCCCATGCTTGCCATTATGTGCAGCAGACTTGTACGGTCTGTCCCACATCCCATTCCATCCCACCCCCTGTCCTGGTTTTCATGCCCTCCATTGGAAGTGGTAACCCAAGAGGAAGGAGCCCACTATTTCCCTCCCAGACTTTTCTCACACCAAGATTCCAGGTAGTTCTGTGGTGTGACTTGACAGAACTAGCCCCCAGT